TAGTAAACATGACAAAATTTACGATATAACTCATTGCGCCAGTCTCCATGCAGCGATGTGTTATCAAGCTTTTTCAAATATCTATGCCCTAGGTTGCAATAGATATGCGAATTTTCAGGGCTATATTATTCATCCCCTAAGTTGCGATGAATAATATAAGCCCACGCTTGTTGTCTTTTATCCCCTAGGTTGTGATAAATATATAGGTTCATCCTCGTATTGTTTACTCCCTAGGTTGTAGTAAATATGACAAATTCTGCGATATAACTCATTGCATCAGTCTCCATGCAACAATATGTTATCAAGCTTTTTCAATTATCTATCCCATAAGTTGTGATGGGTATGCAAAATTTCAGGGTTATATTATTCATCCCCTAGGTTGTGATGAATAACATAAACCCATCCATATTGTCTTTTTTATCCCCTAGGTCGTGATAAATGCACAAGTTCATCCCCGTACTCTATACTCCCTAGGTTGTGGTAAACATTACAAAATCTGTCATATAACTCATTGTATCAGCCTCCTTGCATCGATGTGTTGTCAAACTTTGCTTTATTCATCCCCTAGGCTGTGATGAATAGAATTGGTGTCTTAAGCTTACTATGTTAATCTCTATGCGTTGGTAAGATATTTTCAACTTATATTGTCTACTCCCTAGGTAGTAGTAGATGTACGAAATCTACAATATAACTTATTGCATTAGTCTCGATGCAACAATAGGTTATTTGTCTCTCTGCAATATAATTCATTGTATTAGTCTCCATGTTGCAATGGATTATTGGACTTTATGTTATTCATCCCTCAGGCTGTGATGAATATGCCAAATACGCGTCATTAGCTCACTATGTTAGTCTCAAAGCGTTAGTGAGTAAAATTTCAAATTGATATTGTTTACTCTATAACTGCGATATAGCTTGTTGCATTAGTCTCAATGCAACAATAAGTTATCAATTATTCAACTTGTGTTATTTACCTACTAGGTTATGGTAAATACGCAAAAATCTGCGGTCTCTTTTCTAGGTATTGTTGAGTTATTCGCATCGTCATATCTAGGTCAATTTCACTTTTTGCTCTAACTCTGGTAAGATGATACATCGTCATCTTTACCTATCTCTTTATCCAAAATCAGGTAGGATGATACATCATCGTCTTTTCCTATTTCGTTGAGCTCTTGGGTATGCTATATCAGTGTATCCTTATTTAATAATCTTTGGTCCAAATTTTTGGGTCTTCCATTATTTAATAACCCTCTGATTCGAATGTGCGAGACCTGCGCATTCTCGCATCCTTCAAACAAAGAGTGATTAAATAGGGGCATCTATCATACCCCAAATTTGCTCGCCCTTTATTTCTAGAGTCAAAAATATTTTTAATATTGGTTTTATAATATTTTTTAATATTCGCTTCCAAACCTATTTAAAAATATAATAATTTATTTCAGGTCATTTGTATTTTTAAATACTTGCTCGTCTTCATGTACTTTCAATTGGCTTTTTATTTTGAATAACTAATATAACATAGTTGGTAAGGAATTAAGCCTATAAGTATGAGGTCGCGAGTTCGAATCTTGTGTGTTGTACTTTTAAATATTTTTTCCTATTGTTTGTTCTTTTCTTTTCTTTTTTGGAAATCAGGTTGTGGGCTTTTCATATATTTTGGATAACTTACTTGCTAGGTTTTTAAACATAATTCAGGTCTATAAAATGGACTTTTATTTGTCTTAAAGAGCCATCAACAATTTCATCAACAGATCCACGATTCTCACAAATCCATAAATTTCATACACTTCGTTTTTTACAAATTCTTTACTATTGGTGTTATTTCATTGTTTTGGCCGATAATTTTCATATGAGGTCTCCCTTTCTTCTATTTTCAATTCATTTGTTTTTCTAACCAAATGATAAACACATGATGATGATTATCTATTTTTAAAAAAATTATATTTACAATTCCCATTACACTTACGAACCTTTTTTTAACTTTTAATTTCTTAATTCGATGTTTTACCATGTGATGATATTAATGGTTCCTCATTTAAATTCATATTTTTTGTATCAATAATTTTTCCATGTCCCATTATTTTTATGCTATTGGTTATTTTAAGTATTTTCTCTAACCGTAAACATGTTTTTGATATAAAAAAAAAACTTTTACTCATTCAAAGTACATCAACCGAGAAAAACTTTTCAGTCCTTTTAGCCAACTTCACAAAACATTGTTTCTGAAAAATTCCCACATAATAACCACAAAGAATTTGTTACAGTCAAAACGCTAAGTTTTTTCATAGTCATGTAATCCAACCAATGTCAATCCTCTTGTCACCAAGTCAAGCTTCATGAACCAAAATAAAAACGTATCACTATTATTTCTCTTCATTAACAGTTGCAGTTGCGGTCAATATAAGAAGATCTGCTTTCTCTTTACCTTACACACACACATCCTGCATATTTTTAATCCATCGCATTCTTTTCGGATTTTTGTAGAAAATAATGACAACTTTTTTCTCTCCCAATTGTTACTGTAAGTGAAACAGGGGCGGAACCCATCATGTGCACATTTTCCAATTTTATTCATATTTTAGAAATAGGTTTTTTTTATGACTTTTGGGCCCTATTTACTTGTATCATTCTTCTCTTTATAACTTACACCCCCAATTTCATTTGACTTATTTTATTTTTAGTTTGACTTATTTAATTGGGAGAATATAATTTAGTTAAATAATTTAGGTTATAATAATACAAAAAATACACCTTTATTTTGTTAGATAGATCATAATCTTCGTACATATTCAAATAATTATTATAAATAATTAATTTAATATTTTACAAAGATATTAAAAATCACGCAGTTCACCAATGAGCGACACGTGGCCAATATTTAGTCACGTGATGAGAATACTATATTTGGCCACATATTTTAATCAAATTGAAACTCAAAACAGCTAACCAACATCAAATCATTTTCTACTAACATAATCAAAATCAAGATATTTTTGAAAAAGAATTAAAGAGAATTACTTTTTACATTAACTGTGAATCGCGTCTACGATCACTCTTTTACAAAACCCAGACAAGGTTCAAGGATAATTCGAAATCAATTCTACGCAATCCTATAAAAAAACACCAACCAACACTGCGAACTACGAATTGGGACTCTGATTCCTCATAAGAGGATACGTAGGCATACGACTAAAATAGTGGCGAGTTCCCCTAATAAAAATTAAAACCATATTTTCCTAAAGATTGCGCTTCTAAACCCTAGTATCCTTGTGAACAAGGTAGATGGGGGGTGCCTAACACCTTCCTTTCGTCTAAGAACGAGTCTAATAACTTAGAATCTCTGACCAAATTAGGGTTACCCTTTATATCCACGTCCTAAAGATAAAAATTAAGGGTGGCGACTCTCATTTTCAAACCGGTTACAACAACACCAAAATGATAAAAAGGCGGTAAAAGGCAACCAACCTTATTAGTCGGGTAACCCTCACCCCAATTATTCAGCCCAACGGTGGTTGAACCTCAAACGTTGTCCAAATAAGGACAATGTATAAACTTAAAAATTTTGAAAATTTCATCGGTAAATAAAGATGGCAATTATAGCTTATCTGGTGCTTAAACAAAAAAATTTGATCGGTCTTGTGCATGTGATAATTATCATAATTCTCATTGCCTTAATTTGATTGTCTGAATGAAAAGGGAGGGAAATCGGAGATGAGACTTAAGTATAAAGCATAGTTAGAGAGGAATCCAACAGAGAAGCTTAGGTTCGTAGTCCATATGGTCAATGTACTCACAAAAACTCTTGGCGACATATGAGTACTAGAAGAACTAACCCTCAACCGTTCTAAGCAAAGACTCACGTATGAGTACCGACTTGCTTTATATTTCATAAGCTCTTTTCATTTGTTGGTTTGTTTGATCCAAAAACCTTCTATGCAAGCTTTATTGCTTGAGGACAAGCAACAATCTAAGTTTAGGCGAGTTTGATAAATGGTTTTTGCATCATTTTTATTAGATGTTTTACTTTGTTACTTCATCATTTTTATCCGCTTTGCCTTCATTTTACTATGCTTTATGCTTTAGTATTGTGTTTATGTTATTTTCAGGCCTTAATAAATTATTCAGGACAGAAAGAAGGATCAAATCGAATGAAACATGGAAAAAGGGAAAAAACAAGAAGTCTCCGGTACAAAGACTTGAGGCTGGTTACAGGTGCATGTAATGCATATTACGGCCCATAATGGGCTCCAGACTGAAGACCCCCTTGTGCACACGTCTAGTACAAATATCCGTGTGTTGCACCCTAAATTTTACCCTGAATTTTGTCATTCGCATTTGTTTATATCCAAAATTCATTTTCATTCGCATCGTTATATTTTACGCGCATTTTACATCATTTTATCTCAATTTCAATATTTATTCATTTTTTCTCTTAGATTTTATTTTTATTCTTTATTTTATAATTAAGAAAATATCAATATCAATATATATATATATATATATATATATAAGATTTATTTAATTAAGTTTAATTTAAATTTAGTTTTTTCATTATAAAAATCTGTATATAAAAAAAGAGTTGTTTTCTTTTCATATAATTTTATTATTTAGAAAATAATTATATAAAAAGGATTGTTTAATTTGTTTGATATTTAGTTTTTCTAATATCACAAAATATTTTTAAGAAGGGGTTTTTGGGTCATTTGTCTAAACTTAAAATTGGGATAAGATTTGTTGGTGTGGTAGTATAGAAGGAGGATATAGATAGAGAAAAAGGAGAAAAAGGCAGGAAAAAATATATCTCCAATCCTCTCAGGCAGAAACGAACCCTTCATCATTCCGCTTCCTCCATACGCCTTCCAACAACACCGCCCTTCTCCGTTCAAACTCCATCCAAAAACCAATTCCGCTCCCAGTTATCCCCTCTGTAAAATCGATCTATTCTCACTCACCACCCACCATCCATCGTTGTTCCACTACAAATCCACCATAAACCATTGATGACCATAGCCCTTTGTCTATACCACAACTCCCTCTACCAGTTCATCACCGATCTACAACCTCCAGCCTGCTACAGATTCTTCCCCTATGTTTTCTGCTTTCTTCTGCAAATCAGCAGCAGTCATCTATCAAAATATGCAGTAGTCAACACAGGATATAAAGCACATGCTATCTCAGATGCTGCAATAACTTACAACCACCTTCACTGAGCTTTACGACCAGCTGCTTCACAACAACAACCGCTTGGTCTCTGTTCTGTTACATTCCAGCTTTAAGCCTCATAACCATCTTTAGGTAATTTTAATTTTTGGTACTATTGTGTTTTAAATGTGTTTGAAATTGTGATTGATATTTTGGGAGCTGTTTTAGGTTTAGAATCTGAATAATTAGATTAGTAATTTTGTTGTGTTTATGAGTATTAAAATTGTTATTCTGTTGTGATAACTAAATGTTAATTTTTTGTTGATGACATGTAAGATTTGATAATATGAGTGAGAAGCTAATGACATTGTTATTGATTTTGGCTGTTGATATTGTGTTAGAATTATATGATGAGATGATGTTGGTTCTGTTTATGGATTTTTAATTGAAGACTTTGATAAACAGTTTGTTTGTTCGAATTGAAGTTTGTTTATGGTGTTGTGTATGTTAAGATTGAATGAGACTCTTGTTGCCAATGCCATATTACTTGAGGTTTGATTTGACTGGGCACTTGTGGTTTTTTGTTTGTGAATTTTCGGTGTTGATGCCGCATTATGGGAATTAAATTTGAATGAAGTTTGGTTATGGTATCGTTGTGTATTATGTTTGCGTTGAACACTTTTTTGAGATGATTTTTATTGAGTTTCAACGGGTTTAGGTAGTTGCTTTCCGGAATTTGTTTTGGTTGGGTAGAGCTTGTTTTGAACTCAATGTATCATGTTTTGAATTTGAACCGATTAGTGATATGAATTTGTTGTGTTGAATAATTCTTGAAAGCGTTTAGGTAAGCATAACATAAGTCATTGTTCGTTCTTGTGAATGTTTACCATGATGCAAAGTTGTGAATCGCGGCCGCTATCGCGGCGAACCGGAGCGGTGCGGCACCCACCCGTGCAATTCATTGGGTGCGGTCGCGGAGATTATTTAGCGGGCACTATGCCCGCGAAACCAGGTCGCAGGTCACGGGTTCTTCTCGGGCGGAGCGGTTTTGACTGATTTTCATTTTTTTCCCACTTTTTTCTGGATTTACGAAAGAAAAGATGAAAGAGAAGATGTAGAAGAACAGGGAAGATGAAGAGAAGATGAAAGAGATTTGTTTTATCGATAAAAAAGAGTTCAAAAGTGAAAAAGCAACTTGTTCAATCTTATCAACAACAGCTCTGTAAAGTAATTTAATATAAAATTTTTACTTATCATACCGTTGTAAAATTAATGACCTACAGCTATAAGTAATAAAAATAATTGTCAAATTGGATTTGACTCTAAAAAATTACTCCTACCTGAAAACTTAAAGACTAGTTGAGTTTTAGTAAATGTTTTATTAATAAAAATAATAATATTAATAATAAAACTTAAAGGCAATTTAAAGGTAACATTAGTAATAATCATTGTTCTTTGTTTGACATTAGATTTTATAAATATTTTATGAGTGTTGTGAAATTAGTTTAGTAGATTATTATATAATTATTAGTATATAAAAAATTATCCCGCTATCCGAGATTCCGCTATTCCCACTATTCCCATTCTCGGGGGTCGGCCGCTCCGCTATCCGGGATTAATAACTCTGCCATGATGTGTGAATCAATTTGAAATAGGCTTCATTGGCGTGTCTGTTTTTGTTTGTGTTGACTTTGGAAGTTCAATTTGTTTATGGCATCGTTTTGTGGTTGTCGTTGATGTTGAACATACTTGAGATTTATTTTTGAGCCATTATTTCGTTCTTACTAGTTGCTGCCCGAGATTTGATTTAGGGGTTTAGAGCTTGTTTTGAACACGATTTTTCATGTTGCAATATGAATCTTTACTTCTTGTTGCACTTATGGTTTGAAAAACATGTTTATTCTTGAGTCCACTTGATTGAATATGAATAGAATGCAATGTTGATTTTTGTATTTGCATTGAATATTAACTTGTTTTTTTGGTTCTTAATTGAAAAATATTTATTTGTTCACGTGCATTCATGCAAGTTTCATTTCGATTTTATACCTTGTGATTACTAACTTATTTGTTGATTTATGCAAGCTTACAAGAGTTCTCAAGTTCCTTTCTCCATCACAATTTCATTTTACTTTCTATTTCTATTTTCATTTTAATCCATTAGTTATATATTGTTTTAATTAATTAGTGCTTGTTAATTAAAATGGATAAGTTTACTAATCTATTTTTCTTAATTTCATTAATTAGTTTAATCAATGTTTAATTAATTGATTCTCTCTTTATTTCATCCTCCGTTTTTCTTTATCTTTTCACTTTGATTAATTAATTAGATGTTGATTTAGTTATTTGATTTAATTAATTAAAATGAATTAGTTTACTAATTTATTTTTCTTAATTCAATTAATTAAGTTAATCAACTCTTAATTAATTGATTAAACATTCAGTTCATATTTCATTTGTTTCATTTTAGCTTCGATACATGTTTATAATCCACTCGAATTAATTTTTTATTTCACATTGAGATGTTCAGATTGCTTCTCTACTATCCCGGCCTTGTCTGTTTGTGTGGATTTTTATCGGATGCATGAATTTTTATCCGATACCTTGATGATACTTTGAGCTTATCTGATGCATTTTCTCGGCTTGTGATTTATTTTCACTTGATGCCTTTATCTGATCTTTTGAGTTTTATCTGATGTTTTGAGTTTTATCTGACATATTGAGTTTCTTTAATGTTGTTTGCTTGTGATTTATTTTCACCCGAGATTTAGTATACTCTTGACTTATTTATCTGGTTGGTTGTGGCTTTTAATTTAAAGGGGTGAGAATGCTATATTGATTTCTTTATATCAAGTAGGAGCTTCTATTTGGTCAGACCTTCCTCACCCTAACTTTTACCTTTCTATACATAGGACATTCTCTTCATCTCCTTCTCATTCTTCAATTTTCAAAACCTTCGCATCTTTTTCAAAACCTTCTTGTTTTCAATAAACTTTAATCACTTTTATAACAAACCTCGACTATGTCGAGTGACTTTTCAAATTTTTCTTCTTCTTCAAACTTCTCAAAACACTTAAAAAATAATGATGAGAATCAAACTTCCATGAGGCTTAAGAAGTGGTGAAGGATGATTGAGTCAATTCCGGAAGCTTGTCCTTCATTCCATTCATAGTCTTTTGTGTGGTTCAAATCACAAATCATTTTTCAAAGACTAAAAATTATTCAACCTCATTCAAACCTTTTTGTGCCCTCGCGCACCTTTTATCCTTTAAAACCTTTTTCTAGATTAGACATGATTCATTTTTAATCGAGATGTTATTTCTCTATCCCCATGATTGTCGACTTTTTCGCTTGAGTACTAGAGGTGTTCTCAAACCTTCCATCATGTTGGTGCGTAGTCTTTCTTTCTTATACCTTGTGGCCGATTAGACGAGTCTTCTCCTAAAAAATAACGACTTGTCTCTTCTTTTAAAATCAATCAACACATCAAGTTTTGTTCTTTTTGAGAAGAACTACGAGTGCCCTGATTCCTTATTGCATGAAGGGGGTATGTAGGCACAAAAGTTTGCAACTGTGGCGGACACAATATTAAAAAACATTTTCCTTTTGTTTCTTTAATAACTCTTTCATTCATTTAGCAAGTTTAAGCTTTTAGATAACACAGTCTCTGATTAAAACAAATAAAGTGGATCCTGCGAAGTATCGTAAATGCTCATGGTGCTACCCTTTGCATAATCGACCCCCGTACGTTGATCTCTGATCTCTATTTTATTTTGGGTTTTGTTCGTTTTTTTCCCATTTCCCTTTAGAAACAATAAAGTGAGGTGACGACTTTCACTGATATGAGTTAAGTCAATTAATGATTTAGCCTCAAATTTTTACCGCTACATTTTCGTATACACAATACAATACTGTGGTCTGTTACAGGTGCCCGTAGTGCGTTTTACGGCCCGTAACAGGTAGAAGCATTTCCAATTATTTTTGTTTCCTTTTTCGATTCGATTAATCGCCATTTTAGAACTTTTGTGCATTCCAATCTGGGCTGATTCTGGTCTTAATGGACATTGATCTGAGATATTTACTTATGTAATGGCTATTGATAACATAGATTTATTCTAGTATTATAATTCTAATATAAAAACTCATAGGTAGTCTTGAGTTTTCATCGATTTTTATTCCAAATTTTCTTTTCATGCTCTGCAACTCAAGTCTCCATTGGAACACTGGATCAAGATATTTTATTTATTCAGGTTTTTTATCATTGTTTTATTATTTTATTATTTATTATGTATTCTGAATTTAATATTGTGTCTGTTGTGCTATTCCTCACCATGAGTGAATAGTTCTTTAGGGACTAGGGATCATGAGACTTATCTCATGACAATTTGTATGATCCATCGCTATTGATTACGAGAAATTATTTTCACTATTATTTTAAAACTTGAGTTTTTTTCAATCCTTGTTACGAAAGTAAAAGAGTTCTCAGGTACTGATCGTGATCTGAAAGGACGTGCATCGGTATCCGATAATAGGTTTTCAAACAATTAAGTTCGGTGACGCGAAAGTGCTCGAATGAAATTTAAAAATGTCCCATTTTTAATAGTTGTACAATAGTAACGATCTTTGATAAATAATTCTGCACGAGCGAAAGCCGACGAGCGACTTATTCGTCAGAGGTAGGACAATATGCCGGCGAAAGCAGGTATTGTTCATATTTATCTATTTTCTATAATTTGTGTAAAAAGACCTCGTGATAGAAGTGACCCGATCATATAGAGAAGTCAAAGTAAGGATCATGACTCTAAATTCTGTTTGTCTTATTATAATTTCAATTAAGCTATTTTACAAAAGTTATTTTCAAATAAGTTATTTTTCTACTTAAGTTCTTTTTCACTTAAATTATTCTTAAAACATAAAATTTCGATTTCTCTAGATATACAATGATAGAATAGAGTTCAGTAATCAATCATTGGTCCTTGTGGTTCAATAAATTTTTACTACTCTGACATAGTCGTGCACTTGCGGCCTTTTAGTCTCAGAGAAAAATTTCGGGTTCTTTGATATTTAACTA